TCATTTTCCATCTTAAGCAATGGTCGAGATACAAAGCATTGCCTTTGGTTTTATTTTTTTGTATGTCATCTATATCTGTATTTTTCAGTTTCAGCAATAGAAGAAATTGGAAACTTTGAATCTGCTCCCTTGTTGACAGATATGCTAACCAACATGAACATCAGTTCTGCACCAGACAGTCAATTTGTAGCAATGGGAAAAGAGGCAGAGAACAATGTTTCTGATGCAAGTGGACAAAATGCCTCTGATCCAGCAAATGAAGTGGAACATGAAAGCTCCCAGTGTCAGAATTATAGCAATCAGAGCATCAGTTTTCCTGGTATTAATGAAAATCCCTCTGGCAATTCACATGATTGGTAAGTTAAGGAAAGATTGTTGCTTTGATCCATGTCAGTTGCTTTTGCTAAAAACTATTGCAAGCATGCATGGATTTTTAAAGCTCTGTTGCTGGTTGTTGTTGTTGTTGTTAATTGCGAAGTCCTGTCCGACCCATCGCGACCCCATGGACAACGTTCCTCCAGGTCTTCCTGTCCTCTACCATCTTCTGGAGTCCATTTAAGTTCACACCTACTGCTTCAGTGACTCCATCCAGCCATCTCATTCTCTGTCGGCCCCTTCTTCTAATTGCCCTCAATCTTTCCCAGCATTAGCCCTTCTCCAGTGAGCCCTTTCTTCTCATTAGGTGGCCAAAGTATTTGAGTTTCAACTTCAGGATCTGGCCTTCTAAAGAGCAGTTGGGGTTGATCTCTGTTGCTGGTAGGTTGGTGTATATGCATACTGTATATTAAATTGTCCTGTAAGTGTAGGCATGCTATTACAAAGATGTTTGGTGTGTTCATTTTTTCATATAGGTGAATTAAGACTTTGACAGAGATTCCTGAGCCAGCATAAATTGCTCTACAACATAATGGCAAGCGAAGATTTCTACAAATGGCTTCAATTGGCCATAGATCTGTTGAAAGATTACTATTCTAATGCCCCACTACTTAAAAAATCATATATTTGGCCACTAACCAGAAAAAAAGAATACAGAAATTATTCTCTGCTATAGTAAATATTGCTTGAACCCTTGTCCTGTTTGCTAAATAGCTAACCCAGCAACCTTCTTAGATGCTGCACAGAGCATCATTGGTTGCCTTTGATGGAAGGTAATATGTAGTTCAGTAGGTCTGATTATCCTATTTCTAGAATTAATAAACATTTTAAATATAACTACTTGATTTGAATACAACACTGCAACCAAGTCATAAGAGAGAATAATTTTAAAATTCTGTGTAGAATGATTAGAAATTTTGCCCAACTTGGAAGCTACTTGTAGCTTTTATTCTGAACACAGAAAATGTTGAGGCTGGAATAACTCTGCCATACAAATAGTCCTCGAGGTAATTGGACTTTCTTGTTTTTCTTTGAAGACGTTTTGCTTCTCATCCAGGAAGTTTCTTCTGCTCTCGGATGAGAAGTAAAACGTCCTCAAAGAAAAACAAGAAAGTTCAGTTGCCTCATGAAAAAGCATCTTTGAGATAACTTATTACCTGGATGACTGAGACTAGTCCTCGACTTACAAAAACAATTGGGACCAGACTTTCCACTGCTAAGCAAAGTGGTGCCTGATTTTACAACCTTTATTGCCATGATTGTTAAGTGAATTATTCCGATTGTTAAGCAAATCTGGCTTCCTCCATTGACTTTATCAGAAGGCAGCTGGGAAGATCACAAATGGCAATTACATGACCCCGGATGCTGAAAATATCATAAGTACATGCCAGTTGTGTATCCAAATATTGATCACCTGATCAGGGGACACTGCAATATTTGTAAGTGTGAGGGCTACCTATATGACTATAAGTTACTTTTTCAGTGCTGTTGTAACTTTGAACGGTTGCTAAACAAATGGCTGTAAGCTGAGGACTATCTGTATTCATCACACAGTAATAAAAGTAACTTAGAACAGAGAATTGTCCAACCTAAAGATGAATAATATATTGGCACAAAAAAATAATTATTTCAATCAGTTGGTAAAATTGAACTGAAGATTAAGCTCCTTTGAACTATCCTGCCAGAATTCTCTACCAGATCACGGAATGTTAGTGAGTCTTCCATTAATTAAACTACTAATTTTAATGCATTAAACCTTGACAGCTTTCAAACAATCTACTGTACAGTCTACTCCCACAACCCTTGCAAAATATTGGAGGACAATATTTTATGGTCTGTTCTGAGATATTTATTTATTGGTATATATTACATTGTTGGATACATTATACCTCTGTAGACTGGGTACACACCGAAAAAGTTACTCAGAAAAGAAAGGAAGCTAGATTTACAATCCAGAGGGTAAATAGATCCATCCTTTAATTTCCCTCTTCTTTTCTCTAGAAATCTCTTGAAATCAAAATCAAAATGCAGTTGTTTTCTATTCTTTGCCCCTTTTTGTCCAAAATAGGACACATTTCACATCTTTCCTGTGCTGCGCGGGTAGACTGGAGCAATTATTTAAATCACATACATTAGCAAATAGCAATATTCACTCCAACTATTCAACAAAAAGCATCCATTTAAAGAGGGGCAAGTTGTTTCTTCATCAGTATTAATTCCTGGCAATTACCTAAATAAGTCCCTGCAGTTTTTTGGCAAGTGTTTTTAGAAGTCGTTTGTCACTGCCTTCTTCCTAGGATTAAGAGGGAGTGACTGGCCCTAGGTCATCCACTTGCATTTGCACTTAAAATGGGACTAGAAATCATGGTCTCCTAGTTTCTAGTCTGCTGCTTTAACTACTACACCAATCTGGCTCTCTCTATTTGAAGTAACAAGCATTAATTCTTTTGTTTCAGAGAAATGGGGTTTATATAAATTAATCTGAATGGTCTTGAGGTATTGTTCAATAAAATTAGAACACGTACTGTATATTGGAAGGAAGAGTGTACTTTTCCCTATTCCAGTGCTGAAACAAGACTAGATAGCTCAGTGGTGGCGAACCTATGGCACGGATGCCAGAGGCGGCACTCGGAGCCCTCTCTGTGGGCACGTGTGCCGTTGCCCCAGCCTTGCCTCCCCCGTGACCCCCTTATCACCAGCAATCCCCCTGGAGGAGAGTCACTTCCGAGAGTGACCCACGCGGAGCAGTGCAGCCAAGGACGTGGCAGCCAGAGTAGACAAGACTCTGCCCTCATGCCCCATCATGCACAACTGATGCTGCGGGGCGCGGGCAGAGGGCGTGGCCGCCATGGCGCTGCTGGGCGATCTGCAGCAGGCCCTGGAGGTGGTGAGTGGCCCTGCGGGCAGGCGGGGTGGGGGCAGAGTGGGGGCGGGGCAGGGGTGGAGTGGGGCGGGACCAGTTTTTGGGCACTCAGTCTCTACAAGATTCGCCATCACTGAGATAGCTAGTATTGGTTATGACAGACATGGCTGAAAATAACCTGGGACTGTTACTGTATGTATATAGCCTGAACTAATTTAATCAGAATTAGGAATCCTTGCAACAGCTTTTTAAAACTTATTCCATGACCTGAATCAAATGGGAATCTAGAACCCAATTTTGATTATAGGTTTGCCTTTGAATAAACTGCAGTTATTTAAGGTACCAACTCATACATACAACTATAGCAATAATTCAATTCAAAGTGCAACAGGACCATCAGTTTGTATTCAACTTCAATAAAACAAGATTAGACAGACACAACAAAAGACGATTATATAATACTATTATATAAGTTTTCAACGCCATTTGGAATATTATCAGCATTAGCTCTTAGAAATAAGTCTCACTGATTTTGAGTCCTTTTACAGGGCAAGTGAGGTCATTTTAATTATTGTTCTATGAGTTCACGTAGATTTAAACCAGTAAGAAAAAGGATAATGAAATGAAATCCATCCAGAATCATTGAGAGTTGGGTGGCATACAAGTTTAATGAATTGTTATGAGGATCAGAATCAATGTGATATTTTTTTAGAAAAGCAGAACAAATGATTGTGTTTATTTCAAAAGGGATTCTGGAAATCGATTATATTTGCACAATTGTTTTAATGCTATTAGAAGAGAACTCTATAACTTAAAAATTCTTAGAAGTTATACCGTGCGGTGCTGTTATGTTTTTGGTTGGCACCAGTTATCCAAAACAGGAATTGCTTAGAAAAGCTATTTACACTGACCATCTATCTTAGATCATAGTAAACCTATCCCTCTTTGAGTCACGCCATCTTGCATTGGAATTTAAAGTTTATTTTGGGCTCAAAATATTGAAATATTATTTAAAGGTATTAGCTTTAGAATCATCACATGTTAAAAGTGAAAATAGAATATAGCTTTAAGCCAAAAGTGATGCTGGATAATTGGCAAGGGAAAGTTTCCCCATGCCAGAAGTGCCAATTTGGCATGGCCCAAACTTTACTGGGCAAAGCAGAATGTCTTAAACCTAACTGCCTGATTTATTTATAGTATTTCTTAACCTCAGTAACTTAAAAATATATAGACTTCACCTTTCAGAATTCCTCAGCCAACTTGCTGGCTGGGGAATTCTGGGAGTTTAAGTCCATAGATCTTAAAGTTACTAAGGCTCAGAAGCACTATTATAAAGACTAGGCCCCAAGTTGAGTCCCTTTCCTTTCTGTGCCTGTCTTCATCCACTCAGCCCTTGGTAGATAAAGAGCTGCTCTTTAAGATCATTTTTTAAAATCATTTTTCAAGTAAATAGGTCAGTGATGGCGAACCTTTTAGAGACTGAGTGCCCAAACTGCAACCCAAAACCCACTTATACATCATCAGGTGCCAGGTGGATGTGGCCCATTGGGTGGGTGTGGCCCATTGGGTGAGCATGGCTGCAGTGGTAACGGCAGACTGGGTGGGACTAAAAAGTTCAATCAATCAATTCCAACTTTGCAAGATCTTTTTTTTCCCGCGAGAAGTTGAAATTGACTGATTGAATCTTTTTTTTTTGCACACGGCAGCAGAGGCTTAAAGCGAAAAGGTTTTATAAAACCCAGCTGAAGGCCTAGGACTGGGGCAACGGCGCACGTGCCCACAGAGAGGGCTCTGACTGCCACCTCTGGCACCCGTACCATAGGTTCGCCACCACTGAAATAGGTTAACTTCCTGGGAAGTCAAAGGGGCTAGAATTTAACTTAACAAAAAAGAGTTGGCCTTTAACATTCTTATAACATTTCACAAAGTGATGATTATACAATGTTCTCCTATTAGTTCATACTGCTAGTTCATACTTCTGACTTTTCAGAACAGCCTTTATTTTACAAGGATGCCTATTATCTTTTCATAACCAACTTTAAGAAGGAATTCAGGTAAATAACAATTAAACTAGTAGAAGTGTCCCAATCACTGTTACGCAAGTCACAGTTCTATTCTGGATGATACTTATTTTGTTACTATTGATACTTTTCCATCTCAGCAAAAGACAGGAACCGAAGAAAGTATTAGGTAATATTGGTACACATATTTTTAAAAATGCTGATCAAAGCGGTAGTGGTTTTATATATATTATATATGTATATGCGTGTGTATGCATACTGTACATTATATATATGTGTGTGTGTGTATGTGTGTAAGTATATATAAGCCCTACCCCAAAAATAAGCCCTAGTTTTGGGGTGAGGCACATATTTAAAAATCAGGTGAGGGTGTGGATCTGCCCCATGCGCCCTGCACCCATTTACTATACAACACTGGACATTTTCATCTTACCATGTGGGTTGCAAGCATGGACAAAAGAGTACTCCAGTCTTACAGTTGCAGCTATTTTATGTAGCCAGCAAACTTCATCATCAAATTATACAAATGAATAGAAAGAAATCCTACATACTGTATCACAAAATTTCTGGCACAGATCTTCAATCAATTATTAATCTAGATATATAGGTAATTCCTTCCACTTTCAGGGGTTCTTTTAAGTAAAATGAGATATGCTTATAAACTTTTGCTTCCTTTTAAAATATTTCTTCAGTACCCAAACTCTTTCCTTACGACTACAGTTTGGCTCTGTTAAACAAAAGCTTGTATTTTATTTACTACTCAGTTTGGTGAATGCTCATATGGAAGTAAATTCTACTTACTTAGCGCAACGTGATCCCTATTAAGCTTGCACAGAATTGTAACTCAGCAGGTTTTTATACTACCCAAACATAAGCAGATTTCTCAGGCAGCTCTGTAAGGCTACTTTTATAACATACTCCAAGTTACATAATCACATCTCACTTCTCTTTATTTGTTACAATTCAGCAATATGTGAGTGGTAAATTGGATCAGAGGATCACCTTCTCCTTATGACGTTTTCTCACATTAGATTGCCCTTTTTCAAACATTATGCATAAGAACTGGTAGCTATATTATTGGGAAAGGATGATTTCTATTAATGAATAATTTAAATTGTGGTTTTGGATTTCCTCTGCACATGGCAAAATAAACCATGTTTATGAATGCTGATGCATGTTTCTAAAATTTAAATCTAATATATGATCTATATATTTAATTTGCTTAGCAGTACAAGGTTGTTGTTTTTTTTTTAAAAAAAGTCTCTTACACTTTCTGCATTCATTTTTAGGAAAAAGGATTAATCTCAGTTCCCTAAATTTTCAGACTTCAAAATCCACATTACAATTTTGACTCTGCTTGCTGGGATAAGGGAAATTGCCCAACCCGTTATATTGTGGGAAACATATTCAGCTAATGCCAATTTCTGATTTAATTATATTGAGCTTGATTCCTAATCTTCATCCGTTCCCATAAAAGATCTTTGAATGGTCCTTTGCACTTTTACACATACATATATATATAGTGTCTGCTTAGATGGCATTGGAATATTTATTGCCTATTGTTACTTTATCTTGGTTAATACAGCTACTAATGAGGCAATATCTCTGCAAGGATCTCTTCTTGTAACACTTTGAGTTGGTTGCTGAGTTTTTGACATAGTTGTTTGTTCTATAAAAAAGAAAAAATAGATTATTTACATCTTTTTGTACCATAATTTGATAGTATTTTTATGGGTCCTCACTGTGCCAAGATGTTCAGACATTCAGAGCTTTGAGTTTAATGTAGAGGGCAACTTATTTATTTATTTATTTATTAAAATTTATAGACCGCCCCATTCCCGCAGGACTCCGGGCGGCTAACAATAAAAACACAATAAAACTTAACAAGACAAACAATACAGTAACATTCATCCAGGGGTCGGATTTTATAAACCCCAGGCCTGCCGAAAAAGCCAGGTCTTAAGCAGCTTGCGGAAAACCAACAGGGTGGGAACGGTCCTAATCTTTGGGGGGAGCTGGTTCCAAGACGTGGGCGCTGTCACAGAGAAAGCCCTCCCCCGCGACCCAGCCAAATGGCATTGCTTGGCCGACGGGACCTGAAGGAGGCCCAACCTGTGGGATCTAACCGGACGAAGGGAACTATGAGGTAGTAGGCGGTCTCACAAATAGCCTGGCCCTGAGCCATATAGAGCTTTAAAGGTAATAACCAACACCTTGAATTGGACTCGGAGACCAATAGGCAACCAGTGCAGCTCGCAGAGGATAGGTGTAACGCGGGTGTACCGTGGAACACCCACAATCACTCGCACAGCTGCAATCTGGACCAACTGTAGTCTCCGAATACTTTTCAAGGGTAGCCCCATGTAGAGCGCGTTGCAGTAGTTCAGGCGTGAGGTGACGAGGGCATGAGTGATTGTATTATTCTTTAGGCCTCATGTGTCTAGATGAATAACATTTTGTTGATTCTTGCTATGATTATAGGAATTTATAAAGTGAGTCAAATGCATTTTTTCATGCATCTAGGACATTTTATAGGAGTAGGTCCTACATGCTATAACTATACCAATTTCTTAGTATAATGATACCAAGAAAATCCAAGAGTCTGTGGACCAACAGAATGTACACTATTATATAAAAATGTGCTATTTATTTCAACATTTCCACTGCCAGTCCTATCAAAATTCCAGATGATTATCTCCAAGATTAGTACTTAATCCTGAAAGCAACATAAGGATCCTCATAAACTTGTCAATACTTACTCTGATTGAAAGAAGAGCAGATAAATCAAAAGGTCAGGGGCTTAAAGCAGCTTTTCTCCTTCCTGAAAATTTGATGTTAGTTTACCCCATGCTTCTTTCATTGCAAGTTTCTCCAAAACAACCTGGTAAATACACTATTTGGTTTCTTACCTGAAACCTAATAATCTGCTAAAGAACATCTGCAAAAATTCAGTATACAAGTCTTCAATAAGCCTTCTTGATGCCTGATTTTACCATTGTCTGGTTACTCCAGACACTCAGCTTATTCTGACTGATACCATACAAGCCAGGATCACACTAAATCTTGTTCTACATCATAATATATTGGTTCTTGGACTATAATCTTTACTGCCAGTAGAATCATTTTAAAGCAGTGGTTCTCAACCTTTTTAATGCCGCGACCCCCAACTGGTCGTAAGTGGAGGACTACTCAATTGGTGCAGCACCGTTTGCAGAATGGGACTTTTGGCGGGTTCAGCAGAGCACAGACAGCCTGGACAATTCCTATTGGCTTTTGAAAGCCAGTAGAATTAGACTTTATTCAAGAGAGTATATTCTATTGGCTTTCAAAAGCCAATAGAATAAAAGGGAGTAGCACAGCTAAGGAAAAGGGGGGGGGGGAAATGGCGGACTGCGTTGTTTGGCGACCCCCGTGAAATAGTCGTTCGACCCCAAATGGGGTCCCGACCCACAGGTTGAGAACCACTGTTTTAGAGGCACATGCAGACAATCTAATCTCTTGAGAAGTTCATTACCACTGGGTAATGGACGTAAGAGAAGATAGAAAGAGATAAGAGAAGGTAAGAGAAGATAGAAAGAGGATAGCCAATGCCAAAATATATGTATTTGATTATGACAACAGTGAAGGCAGCACTGGAAGGGCCAAACTGAAGATAGATAATTCTGAGAGGTTCTATCCTCTGTATGGTCTCTAAAAGACAAAAGACAGCACTTAATCAATTTAATGTTCACTGGTTCCCATTTTGTTTCTGGTCCAAATTCATGATGGTTGCATTAAATCTGTAAGGCCTGTCATAATCTGGAATGGGAATAGGATGTCCTTTTTCTTGAAAGTTCTCATTGCCTGAAATCATCTTTAGGGGTAAAAGATGTCTTTACAGTATTTTCCCAGGCATTTTAATCCATGTGTTCATTTTTAATATATTACTATTCAGGAAATTTGAGTTTTTATTATTTTAAAGTTATAGACTTCAAGTACTGCATTTTATTCCATATTGGATTAGTTTACTATTTTGTGGTGTTTTGTAAACTATCTGGGAAAATCTGCCTTTTAAGGGCGGCACCCCATTTTTTTTAAAAAAAACCATATAAATAGGAAGAGGGAACATTATACAAATCAAGACAGGATGTAAATCTGATAAATAAAATTAAAACTGAATAAATGTATATATTATATGAAAAAATAAAATCCATAAAATACATCACAAGCTTAAAAACCTTATAAAAAGCTTCTTATTTGCTCAGGTAGTCGATTGATGACTACAATTGACCCAACATTTCTATTGCTAAGCAAGACAGTTAAGTGAGTTTTGCCCAATTTTAGGACCTATTTTGCCACAGTTGTTAAGCGAATCACTGCAGTTATTAAGCAAATTTGGCTTCCCCCATTGACTTTGCTTGTCAGAAGCTGGCTAGGGAGGTTACAAATGGTGACCACAGGATAATACAACTGCCATAAATACATGCCAGTTTCCAAGTGCCTAAATTTTGATCATGTGACTATGGGAATGCTATAATCCAAAGGTTCCCAACCTTTTGGGCACCAGGGACTGGTTCTGTGGAGAAAGGGTTTTCCATGGACCAGAGAGTGCGTAGTTTTTGTGTGCTGCCTGCATCTCACAGATGGCGCTTTGCTTGTTCATGCGGCCCAGTTGCTGGCATGCTGCGGCCCAGTACTGGTCCACGGACCGGGGACTGACGACCCCTGCTATACTGGTTGTGTGAAAAATGGTCATAAGTCACTTTTTTCAGTAGCATTGTAACTTTGGTTACAAAATGAATGGTTTTAAGTCGAGGATACCTGTACTGTATCATACACTGTTGGAAAAATGGAAACTGTATTGAGGAATTTTAAAGGCAAATTTATGATCTATAGAATAGATGACACAAAGCTCTTGTACTTCAACACAGCTATCTCTTTGAAAGTTGGACCTAAGGATGAATATATCCTTCCCCAAGCTGGGTTGGATGAGAGCTCTAGACAGATGGGAAGTACAGTATTACATATCTGAAGTATAATAAGTTGAAGTAAGATAGACCTAAGTCACTATTGGCCTGTACACTGTGCAGCGTAGCCTGGACTAGACACTGAAACAATCTTTACTTTGAGCATGTAACTACCTTTGTGTGAATGAAGAGTACTGGACGCTATATTTTTTTTCCTCCTCGGCTGTGACGTGTTGGTAGCTACTTCTTGAGTCCACCAGCTCGCTGTGCTCTTTTCAAGAGAAGAAAAAAGGAGGGCACTTGAATAAAAGGGGCGCCAGCAGGCTAATTGGGGAAAAAAAAAAGAAATTTGATCGGACGCTATAGAAGCGCTGCTTGCGTTTGCTTCAGAATCAAAGTCCCCTTGAGCTAGAATGTGGTTTCTTTTTAGTGACCCTGAAATCATTTCCAACTCAAAGAGGCTGTACTTTACCAGATACGCGAGTCCAACTTTTTACCGCTTACTGTATATCTCTAGAGTCTAGACTCTTATTTCTCTCCTTCCTTCGCGCGTTCCCGCCACTCAGCAAGTGCAATAAGCTCGGTTCCTCCCCACCTGTGTCCCAACCATAGCCGCTTCGCGTGCACTTTCTCCTTCGCAGAGTTAACTCCTTACTATGGCATTTATAGTACGGAGGCCTTCAGAGCAGTATCTCTTATAAGTGGCGGCTGGCAAGCTTCTGGATCAAAATCGTGATCTCGAATGAAGTAAGCGGCAGGCATTTTTCGCCAGTGGAGGGCAGGGAAATGCCCTCGACTGTTGCCGCCGATATCGGTGTTCAGAGCAGTATTGCCAGGGGCGACAACACTTCTATATGTGTTGGAATATAGCTTTTACGGCATCCTCCACCCAAGCAGCTAATGCACTGCCTTTGGCCGAAAATGACTTAGTTACAGCATATTAATAGTAAGATCCGGACAATTCCATTCCGTTTTCCTCCCGCCACGCTACTTCTGCAGGCGACCGACTGAAGGTTTTAAGAATAACTCCGATTACAACCTCTTTTTCGCCTAAAGAGCCAACCGCACCGAACTTAAGGTGAACAATCTTGGTTACCGAGTTGTCTATCTCATTTAGCTGCGCGTTCCTGAATATACACGAGCATAAGGAATACTCTGCATGCCTTCCAGCAGCCCAACCACGTCTCTTTCTCGCGGGCGCTGGTTTGGATGGCCGGGCGGCCGGGCGGGGTGGAAAAGGGAGGGGGGAATGCTCTTATTTTGACAACTTAGCTGGGTGGCTGGACGAGCGAATGCCTCCGATGTCATTCCCTGGCAAGGGCTAATTGTCCGCGCTCATATTAAAACTTAAGTAGAGAGGTACTATGGTTCTAGTCTGTGTTAGTGGATGGCTGGTTTCCCTTCACAACACCGCTTCATAGGCCCGCAGGTGATCCCTTCCTTTGCTTACAGGTAAGTCCCACTTTGTTCTCCTCCCTCCCCCGCCCGGTTCGGCTCGCACCGCTGTAATTTGTCTTTTAGGCGCTGTGCTTCCAGGGAAAGCCCAGCGCATTATGAAGGGACTGATTCTTTAAAGGAGCGCAGGTGGCGGGTTGCTTGCGCGCGCCTGCGCTACGGGCCGGGAGGATTTGACTGAGGTTCCCCAATTGTAGCCCAACATTTTTGGCGAACCTGACTCGCGCGGATGGTAGTTTAAGTCTCACGCGGGGCATTTGGCTCAACGGAGGAGAGTGGTCGGGTCATAGTGGCCGCGGCCCCGAAGATTGACTTCTAAGAAAGACGTTAGTCGTTGCACCAGGTCGTGACCGAATCTTGCATTTCAGAATAAGTTACACAAGACGTTTCGTGGTCCAGGTTTAGAAAGTTGGTCTCTCTTGCAAAGGACTTAGTAGATTCCCAACTGGGTGGAAGGGAAGAGTGGTTTTTTTTTTTTTTCGTTTTTTTTTTTTTTACGAGCTTCGTGTGAAACTACTGTAGTGGCGGACTTTTATTTTAAAGAGGAGGGTTAATATTAAAATATGCGAGCTGTTTTTTCGCGCTCACTTGAAGCTGATTCTAGCGTCTCAGACGCGCTTTCCTAGAAGGTTCTGGGTTGCACCAGTTGCTGTGTTTGTGTCATGGTTAAACTTAGAACTATAAGATAAGAATACTTAACCGCTTGATGAGTACATTTATCATGCGTTGTATGAAAAAGTCAAAAGGAAGGGCTGCTTTAATCAGACGTTTAAAAATGCCGAATAATTCGATCTGTCTGAGGAATGCATGACCTCATGGAACCTAGTTTAGGCTCTTCCTATGAAAGGAAGGCAATATACTGGAGGCATATATAGCAGCAAAACAGCTGATATGAAATTCTGTAGATGAAAATTAGATATTGCAGGGATTTTAAGTGGGAAGGGAAGGAGTAGCCACTTTTATTTACTGCCATTTCTCAATTTATTTCTTCCCGAAGTTTCTTTGCCCTTTTTTAAAAAGTACTGCGCCATATAGCTACATTGAGAAATTTGGCACACAGCTGACAGTTTGAACTATTATTTTTTTTTGTTCAAATTAACAGTTTTTTTAAAAAAAATAATTATATAATTCATTTACAGTTTATAATACTAACAACCCAACAATAACCCAAATAAAATGTGGGATTTGTGTATGGAAAAGTGTCTAGACATGCACATGTGGTAGCAATCATGATATATCAACATATTCAATGAACACAGTAACTAAAATTACTTCACTTATAGCCAGATTTCTTGCTAACAATATCTGTAAATGTTCTATTTTTTAATCCTAAATTGAAGTAAAATGCTGCTTGTCTAGACAAAAAAGTGAAAATAATATCCTACATGAACTTTATCGTTGTATTTTATTTTAATTATAAATCTGCCTTATAAAGTTTTTCATTAGTTTCAAAAATATTATAAATGCTGGCCAGAAAATTGAGATATAGTTTGGCAGAACTTTGGTACTAAGATCTAGTTAGAATTATATGTATTCAGAACTATATTTTCCATTACAAGGAATTTGAGCGTAGTCCAGAAGGGGAAAGATATGATTATCTTATTGATCTTGGGGTTCATAACACAATTTGTTCACTTGGAACTCAAATTTTGTTTGATTGATGAAACCTTAGCAGTAGAAGCAAGGAACATGTCTTTGTTGAAATATTTTGGTACTGCATAATTTTTGATTTGAATACGTTGTTTTAAGTAAGGTGAACTGATAGAATTCAATATCTACTTGTGATAATTTTTATTTACTGTAGAAAGGCTTTACATGGATTAAAAAGGTCTTGTAGTAAAATCTACACTGAATCCTTAGATGAGTGAATTGTATCTTTAAATCATAAGTAGAGTTAAAATTTGCAAAAATAGTGTATTGCTTTCCAGTGATTTCAGAGAAAGAGTTTAATATGTTTAATTGCCATGCAGTTCGCAGGAGGGGGTGGGAATTGCAATGAAAGCCATTATAAAAATAAATTGCATATTCTGCATATGGGGATGGTGTTTATTAAAATAACTTCTGTACATTCAAAACTTTTAAGCCTCTATGAGTATTCCTAGAACATTTCAGCATGTTTATGAGGAAAATGTTTAAATTATTAGGGGGGGGGGGGAAGATAAGGTAGGCAAATTTCAAAGATGCTGTAGGTAAAAAACATCTTGTTCCTGAGAAAAATGGAACAAATGTTAGCATTTGTCCATTGGTTCCCTTCTAATTTGATTGTCTATATAATCTTGTTGCATGCCCATTTATTTCTATTCTTATTTGTATTGTTTTCCTAAAGGGATTATCTTCATCAAGACAGCTACTCTTTGCTGAGGCAGGGATTCTGTCCTACCTAGGATCCCTGCCAAGAAAGGCCACAAAATTTATCATCTCATTCTTTCCAACCACCAACCCAAAGTCTATTTTCACCTTCTAAAACACAGGACAATTGTGAAAGCTTCCCCATGAGTGTCAGTAATCTCCCATCTGTGTCCTCTATGTACCAACCCAGCATGTTTAATTATGAGCGTCCAAAACACTTTATCCAGTCTCAAAATACATATCAAGGGAAGCCACAGCCTCCAGGATCAGAGACCTCTGCTGCACAACTGAGCAGGCAAACCAAGCAGTCTTCCATTTTAATCCAGCCTTGTAATTCTAATGAGAAGAAATTTACTTCCTCTTCATCGCTGAGCTCGCCAATCTCACTCTCTTCGCCTTCATATAGCGCTTCATTTCCCGTAACACCCGCATCTGTACAGTCTCCTGCTAGCTCATCATCTGGGCAGAGAATTTCATCCATGCATAACCAGTCCCCTGCAGCATTCCTTTGTTCTGTGTTGCCCTCTCACTTTGATTATAATAATAGCCAAGGTCCTTCCTCTGTGGACTCAAAGTAAGTATGCTCTTTCCCTTGCCTTGAACTGTGTGTAGGTGCATTCATGAAAACCTAAATGCTGTGTTCCTGTTGTGAGTGAGCTATGCTGCATGTAAGTGTTGAATGCAGAGATGGGAATTAGAAGGGGAAACTCAGGAATGGAAACTATAAGCACTGTTAATTGTGCAAGGTCTGTTTTGTTCCAGATGCCAACTTTGGCAAAATGCATGGAGGTTTCCCAAGTTTTATGTATAAGCAGTGATGACTGAAAAATAAAAGTAAAGGCAGGATTCCATCCTGTTTAAACAAGCCCTGAAAATGAAATCTAATTCTAGAAAATGATGCATTAGTTTAGTTGACATATTAAAAACTAAATCTATTAAGGATTTATCTCAGGATAAGATTAACAGATTGAGACAAATGTTCATTTTTTTAAAATTTTATTTCAGTTCATTTAATTATTGTTGATTTACACTATCCTATGTTTTTATCCTAGGTATAATACATAGCTTTAGCACAATTCCATCAAATAATTTAAGGATTCTTATTTGGGAGTGTAAATACTATTTACTGTGAAAGGTTTTACATGTGTTACTAGATGTATTTTTGCAGTGTACAAGACTAGTCAACCACATTTTAACTGTGTGTTGTGGAAATCCAGCCCATGTATCATGTAAATTCAGAAAATTGAGCAAACTATGATTATGGTAACTATGAGTAGGCTTGTTGTGCAAATGCTGCCACTGTTTGGGGGTAAGTTCATTAGTGTAGATATGATGAGTTGGCTTACAGTTGCTGCTGTCATCTTTAGCCATTCTGGTTAGGATGAACTGTGATCACCACATCTGACAGAAACAGTTTTCAGTACTGCTTAATGATTCAGTTTTAGTCTTTTCCTTAGGGCATTTCCTACTTTAGTTCTGTTTATCTAGGCACTAAGCAACTGATCTGGAACAAATGGCATAGTTGGGTACAATCCAGCCCTGAATGGAAAATACATCTCATATCAGTGAAGGCTAGATCCTACCTCTTCTACAGTATAGTTTTGCCACTATATAATGAATCTTACCCTGAAAAAAATGGAAAAAGAAAAGGTTTTTTTTTTTAGAATGTTGTAAATGTTAAAAGAAGCTTTATTGAAAAAAGCTAGGTAAATATTGTATTGGTATACAGTTTTTTGACAGCTCTGATTTCTCATAGAGCACAAAACATTCAGGTGTTACCCACACAAAAGAATCCACATTCTGCATAAAAATCTGAAGGCACTAAGGTTCAAGAGAATGAAGAATTTTCCCTAGTATTAATGGGATCAATAAAGTAAACTAGGGAATAGTAGTGCCAGCTATAATTTTGTTTAGCAAATTTGCATACAATTTCTGAACTACCTACCATAATACATGAAAAACTAAATTCTATTATGAAATATTAAACATTTAGCCATTCTTTGCTTTCAACATCCTGTGACGCAAAAATAAAAACATTTTTAAATAAAATAGTTACATTTCAGTTAAAAATTTTAAAAATCATCTTGTGAGGCAAGAAACCCTAATTAATCTAGAAGGTGGAATCATGATCTTACCTGGAATTAAACCCGATGACAATAAGCGAGAGATAATTAACTTGATACAGGAATTGATAATAAGTAAACAAGACATCACGAGAGATTTAACATTACAAAATAGCAAACAAATATGGGATTGTATTATCAAGCTTCTGTTAATAGTAATTTGTTAACAATTTGCTTTTACACAGCTATAGTGTATCATTAACAATTGCTAATGATACACTATAGGTGTTTAAAAGCAAATTAATTGCTAATAAAAAAAATGAACTAAAATTGCTAGCATTATTAAGCCTTAATAT